GGGGGGTAAATGGCCATGTAGTCCTGGGAAAAATATGACAGACAGATAGAAACAACAGGAGGTAAGCAAAGAAGAAGGACCAACCAGTGGCACCCTCAAACCACCCGCAACGGCCCCTATCCAGCTGCAGTGTGAGTCAAGTGTACCTACAAAATAACCGCGCGGGTTGCCACAGCGCCGTGGTTGTGGCTGTTCGTGAAGTGTTTTCGTTTCAGTGGGAGGTTTGCTATACTTGCAACATAAGTAGGTCATTATAAGCTTCAAAGCTCAGAATTTAAAGGGGTGTTGCTAGATAGTAAAGGACGACAGATGTTTGGTAGGAAAGAAGGAGCAAACCATACCAGAATGACCCTTAACCCCGGAGGTTACCTCCCAACCCAGCTATGAACCAAGTGTACCTGAAAAATAACCCCACGGGTTGGTAAAACGTCGAGGTTGAGGTTGAAAAGTGCTTTCGTTTTAGTAGAAGTTTTAAGGCACTTCCAACACAAGTTGGTTATATAAGTATAAGTGCCGAATATTTGAAGTGTTACTAGAGAGTTCATTAAAAAGAAAGGAGGATGAGAGATAAGGATGATAAAATAGATGCTTGATATCTAGGAAAGAAGGAGCAAATCACACGAGCTCTCGTGGTCTAGAGATTAAAGGTGTTCGCCTAGCCCCCCATTCAATAGGTCGTGGGTTCGAATCCGGATTTATTTTCTAAATGTTCCCCTTTCACGTCCTTTACAGCTCCCAAACAATGTTCTGTCCTCTGCTTTCGTCCCCACCCCCTCATCTCTTTTGCCTCGTCCTCTGGACTCTTTCTGAAGCCATTCTACTGCTACTCCTTGGCTCATTCTTGCTGATGTCCTTCAGCTACACCCCTGATTTTATGGTAGGAAAGACCTCCACCTAGCCTTCTCGGATAAGGGCAAAAAATCTCGGAGGTCCCGTGTGCACGTTAAAGATCCCTTGGAGGTTCAAAATTGATAAAAGTAGGCTTCGGGCGCCATCTGAGCAAAATTCAAAATTACCTCCCAACTGTCAGTGTTCAATGAGTCCTGCGCACTCATATGACCTAATGCATTTGCAAGCGCCGTAAAACACTTACAAAAAAAAAGCAAACCATACCAGAGCGAACATAACGAAGGAGGTTACTCCCCAAACCAGCAGTGAGTCGAGTGTACCGGCAAAATAACCCGGCGGGTCGGCCCAGACCCGTGGCAGGGGTTGTAAAGTGTACACGGGGGGCCGTAGCAGAAGAACGCCACTCCACCGTGTTAGGAGATCTACGACCGCTGTCTTCACATAGGACCCGGCCTTTCGAAGCGAACGTGGACCCATTGCCTAGCCCGTTGGACCCGAAATGCACACGGAACGAAACACCAGTTTTTCTCATTCAAAATTGGCGACGCGGTAGTCGCAAAACTACGTCATATAATTTATTATTAATATGATAATTATGAACATATTCTTTAATCCATACATAGAGCTCGATGGATGTACTCAAGGCTCAAGGTAAAAAATTATGTTCATCCTAGATTACAAGACCTAACGTAATTACTCTATACTCTGCGTTAAGGCTGAAAAAAAAGTATTCAACAGCCATACCCTTTACTCCAATTACAGGAAATTAGAGAAACACCTCGATACAATAACGGTCATTTCGTGCTAAGAAAAAGCCAAACCAATAGAAATAAAAGAAGGAGAATAATGAGATAATCTTTTTCTGAGGTAGAATGAAATAAAAACGCGCAACACCGAGCACTCGAGCACAATAAGCTAGATCTACCCACCCACCAACGCAAAAGAGCTCCAATTTACTCGGTGGCAATTGACAAAAAGTAATTTTTGTCAGTTGCCACCGCGTCACTCGGTGGCAATTGACACTACCTTTAAAAAAAAGAGAGAATATCATTTCTCCTCTTTGTTCTCTACGGTAAACCAGAAATAAAAAGGGCGCACCCAGTCAGTCATATGTCCCAGGGCTGTCTGTGTCGAGAGCACACAGAAAACGCCAACCGACTTGCAAAGTAAAACCCAAGCTGTGTTATGAACCAAGGTGAAAACGACCACCTCGTGTCCCGCACGCTCATATGACCTTATGCAGTTGCGAGCGCCGTAAAATTGTAGCCAGCCACAGAGCCCTGGAGTGTACGTGGTCGGGAACGTCAAGAATAAAACGTCCCCTCAGCTCTTCCCCCTGCTGTCTCGCTGTTACGAATGGCTGAATTTACACCGAGCGTGTGCACAACACAGAAAATATATTCTTCTTTTTCAACAAACCGGTTCACC